CCATAAATATCACACCTACTGTAAGTGAAAGCAGTGTTTACCTTGGGCATCATCCTGACTGCTGATTGGTCAGTTCCTTAGGGAGAGAAACAGACGAAACATGGTATTATCCCACAGATATATGTTACTAAATACCTATAATATTACTGTATACTAAATGCAAAAGATAACCTTTTCACAGGAGAATGCGAGTAAGTGTGTGTGTGTGTGTGTGTGTGTGTGTGTGTGTGTGTGTGTGTGTGTGTGTGTGTGTGTGTGTGTGCGTGGGGGGGGGGGGGGGGGGGTTGGTTTGTGAGTCAGCTGGAAACAGATATCTGCTTCTATGAATGGCAACTGATTTGAAGATAACAGTGTTATTGTGAACGTCTGAATAAAGAATTTTTACGTGTAAGAACAACTTTCTAAAAGCAGATTGTGTCTGAATATCTACGTTTCTTCAGCTTCAGTTCGTCAGAGAGATGCTGCTCTAAGAGAACTGAAGTAATGTGTTAAGTGAAGTGAATGGGAAAAGGTGTTTTTAATTTTTGCATGGAGGGATACATCCAAAGTTAAAGCAAAGACTATAGATCAGGCAACAGTATGCAGGTCTGAACAGTGACGCCTAGGCTGAAGTGTCAATAACTCTGTGTGTCCACAACAGAGATTGGTCCAGGATGTTGTTTAACCCAGTTTAGCATGGCAATGTGTATTTTGCTCTTTAAAGCTATTGTAAAGGCTGTTTGGTCAATTACAAGACAGAGATTAGACATGATTCGGTTACACTTTATATTAAGGTACACAAATTCACCATCAACTAGTTGTTAATTACCATGCATATTAGCAGTATATTGGCTCTTTAGTAGTCATTATAAAACACTTATTAATGCCTTATTCTACATGACCATATTCTACAAGTAATAAGCCATTTGTTGAGAGTTTTTCCTCAATAACCCTCTAATTAGTGCTTATTGATTGCAAGTAAGGTAAAGTTGTTGCACATGAGTTTTGGTCTTAATATGCTCTGCTCAATAAGGGCCTAATAAGGCAGTAATACCACAAGAATAGTAATTCTCCCATAATAACACTTAACAAATATGATCTATTCTTATGTAACAAGACATGAAACTATAAGTTTTAAAGGTAGGGTAGGTAATTCACTTCAGAAACACTTTTTGTTATATTCCATGGAATGCTCTTAACATCTCGATAGCAATGAATAAATGAAATGCTTTGACAACAAATATATACAAATGTTTCATCTGTGGAAGCCGTGGCGCTGTAAAAAGCAAGTCCAATTATCTGCCCCGGCCCGCGGCAAATAATTGGATGGCCTACCTGCCTGTCAGCCTTCCATCTGTGCACAAACTTATCTCGTGCCCTCATTGGTCATGTGCGCATTCGTGTGTGTTGGAGGAGGGGCTCTGTAAGGAAGTCTGAAGGAAGGGGCAGATTTATTTTGGTTGTGTACTTTCAAATTCTAGCTTACTCGAGCTGGTTTCTCCATTCTTACCCACCCTACCTTTAATTGTGTCTAAATAACAAACAAAAAAGGTATTTCTTTCTAAGAATATGTTTTGGGGTATTGACAGTTCAGCTACCAATAGCAAGGTGATATTGACCTGTATGTTTCATATTTGCACATTTATATATTTGTAACATTTGTACTGAAGGTTAGACAGGAAACCGGGTACAGGAAGTAGGAGAAAGTGAACTGAATAGCATGGCAGTAGACATCCATGAGTAGACTGCTACTAATTTCCCCTTTGCAACCTGAAGAGTAAAAGGGTCAAGTCCGTCAGAAAGCAATGACCGTAAGTGTAAGTGTAAGCCTTACACTTACACTGTAAGGATTAGTAACATGTATTGTGTTTATGTGATGACATTTGGAGATGTTTAAACTCAATGAGAAAATGTGTTAGCATTCGCGCTAGCGTTAGCATACACGCTAGCGTTAGCATACACGCTAGCGTTAGCCATACTAGCCTGTATACATGCTTATTGCACAGCTAGCATGAGCTATGTTTACCTTGTTTACACTTAGCGGTCCTATGTGTTAATCTGTGTATATTACACTTGCATGTATGAGATCATTAAGTGCCTTGTAACTTCTTTTTTTATAATTTCACTCCATTTGAATATCAGTGGACTGCAAATAAGTCAATAAAGGAGCATGGCTGCTCATTCCCTGGCTCTCAAAATAGTTTGTCTGGTTGTTTAATCTATGTTCACACTGAGACAGTACAACACAGAGAGAGAACAGTACACATATTGTGTAAGTACATACAAGCAGGTCACACAGTATGATCACAAATACATAAACTCTGTTAAAAATCTGTTTTTATTAAAAAGTTGAGCAACTAAGCAACTATTAGTCGAACCACCTAATCCTGCTTTATCCGACCATTTTTTGGTAACTTTTGAAGTACTGTTACTAGACTACAAACCATTAGTCAAAAGCTCCTGCAGCAGAAACCTATCTGTTAGTGCTATAGCCAAATTTAAGGAAGAGATTCCACTCGATAGCATGTCTGCATGTAAGGGAAGAAACTTATACAAAATGTACACCACCCCAAATTGATCATGTTGTTGATAGTGCTACAGATGCCCTGCGAATAAAATTAGACTCTGTTGCTCCTTTGAAAAAGAAGAAAATAAAACAACTTAGCTCCATGGCATAATGCCGAAACCCGCAAAATAAAGCAAAAGTCGAGACAACTTGAAAGGATATGGCGTTCCACTAAACTTGAAGAATCTCGTTTAATTTGGCATATTACTCTCAATGAATATAAGAAAGCACTGCGTAAAGCGAGAGCAGCTTACTACTCTTCATTAATAGATGAGAATCAGAATAATGCAAGATTTCTTTTCAGCACTGTAGCCAGGCTGACAGAGAGCCACAGCTCTATTGAGCCTTCTATTCCCATAGCACTCAGTAGTAATGATTTAATGTGCTCTTTTAATGATAAAATTGTGATAAATTAATGACCTCTTGCCTTTGACCAGTATAGTGTTATCAACAGCTCCCGGAAACGTAAGTTCTAATATTACACTAGATAGTAAATTAGAATGCTTTTCAGCCATAAACCTTGAACAATTGAATTCAATGATTCTTTCTTCTAAACCATCAACGTGTATCTTAGACCCAATTCCAACTAAGCTGTTAAAGGACGTTTTTCCATTAATTAACACTTCTTTATTAAATATTATGAATATGTCTTTATTGTCAGGCTATGTTCCACAATCATTTAAAGTAGCAGTGATAAAACCTCTTCTTAAAAAGCACAACCTCGATCCAGAGGTTTTAGCCAATTATAGACCTATTTCTAATCTTCCGTTCCTCTCAAAGATTCTTGAAAAAGCAGTCGCAAAACAGTTGTGTGATTAATTAAAAAACAATGATTTATTTGAAGATTTTCAGTCTGGCTTGAGAACACATCATAGCACAGAGACAGCTCTGGTTAAAGTCACAAATGACCTTCTAATAGCCTCAGACAAAGGACTTTTTAGAGACAAAGCTCTCTATTCTTGTTTTGCTCGATCTCAGTGCTGCATTTGATACTATCGACCATGATATCTTATTGCAAAGACTAGAGCACTTAGTTGGCATAAAGGGAACTGCTTTAGGCTGGTTTAGGTCCTATCTATCTGAACGCTCTCAGTTTGTGTGTGTCAACGATGAATCTTCCATGCAAACCAAAGTTAGCCATGGAGTGCCACAGGGCTCAGTGCTTGGACCTATTTTGTTCACATTGTATATGCTTCCGTTAGGCAATATTATAAGGAATCACTCTGTACATTTTCATTGTTATGCGAATGATACTCAACTATATTTATCCATCAAGCCTGATGAAACCAATCATCTAAATAAAATTCAAGACTGCCTCAAGGACTTAAAAACGTGGATGACCTTACATTTTTTGATGTTAAACAAGGTACTCGGCACAAAGAATCTACGAAACAAATTATCTAAAGATATATTAACTATGGATGGCATTAATTTGGCCTCCAGTGAGACTGTAAGGAATCTTGGTGTTATATTTGATCAGGATTTATCTTTTAACGCCCACATAAAAAAAGGGCCGCCTTCTTTCATCTACGTAACATTGCAAAAATCAGGCATATCTTGCCTCAAAACGATGCAGAGAAACTAGTCCATGCATTTGTTACTTCAAGGCTGGATTATTGTAACTCTTTATTATCAGGGTGTACCAAAAAGTCAGTTAAGTCGCTTCAGCTAATTCAAAATGCTGCAGCACGTGTACTAACCAGAGTTCGGAAAAGGGACCACATTACTCCAGTTTTGGCTGCCTTACACTGGCTCCCTATAGAACACAGGATATAATTTAAAATTCTTCTTCTCGCCTACAAAGCCCTTAATGGGCAGGCGCCATCTTACCTTAAATAACTCATTATACCCTACTGTCCAACTAGGGCATTGCGTTCCAAGAATGCACGGTTGTTGGTTGTTCCTAGAGTCTCTAAAAGTACAATGGGAGCCAGAGCCTTTTCTTATCAAGCTCCACTTTTGTGGAATCAGCTTCCAGTTTGTGTTCGGGCGGCAGACACCCTATCCGTTTTTAAGAGTACGCTTAAGACCTTTCTTTTTGATAAAGCTTATAGTTGATAAAATAATCTAATAAGAGTGCATTGACGTAGACACGTTGTGCTTCTTCACCTATACATTTGAGTTCTTACTCTTTTTCCTTACTGATGGTATGTCATTTGGTTGTGTGTGTAGACGGTGGAAGCACGGAGAGGCATATACGTGCCTTGATCCCTGCCGAGTCGACGCACAACTGTTGATTGGTGTCAGTGCCAGAAACACTTTTTAGGAGCAATGCGCTCATGGTATATATGTAGTTTGGTTGTGTGTGTAGATGGTGGAAGCAGGGAGAGGCATATACGTGCCTTGATCCCTGCCGAGTCGACGCACAACTGTTGATTGGTGTCAGTGCCAAAAAAAACTTTTAGGAGCAATGCGCTCATGGTATAGATGTGGCGCATACATCTTAGTTCCTACTCTTTTCCCTCACCCTATCCTAAGGGAGTGCATGTACGTAGACACGTTGTGCCTCTCCACCTCTGTTCCTTACTTCTTACTTGCTACCCTTTTCCCTCAACCTATCCTAAGAGAGTGCATGTACGTAGACACGTTGTGCCTCTCCACCTCTGTTCCTTACTTCTTACTTGCTACCACTTTCCCTTAACCTATCCTAAGGGAGTGCATGTACGTAGACACGTTGTGCCTCTCCACCTCTGTTCCTTACTTCTTACTTGCTACCCCTTTCCCTCAACCTATCCTAAGGGAGTCCATGTACGTAGACACGTTAGTTTAGCTGCTATAGGCTTAGACTGTCGGGGGACACCTTACTTCTTCCTTCTGTCTGTCTGTACCTGTGTACTCTCATGTTCCGAATAACCCAGCTTCCCCCAAATATCTTTTTGGTGTCTATCTACGCTGGGATCCTGAGTCGTGGCTGATCCTGTTGCTGTGGTCCTGTGTCCTGGATCCTCTATCCTGAGTTCTGGATTTGAGTCCTGGATTTCGAGTCGTGGCTGAACCTATCACTGTGGTCCCGCCTGACTCTCATCATACTACTTCCCTGATGGCTCCCACAGGATTGTTGACATCCTCGTGGATTCATCTTCTTATTATAGACACATGCATTTCCAAACATTTGGTCTACCTATGCTGTAAAATGTATTATCTCTTCGATTTACACACGGCATCTATTGCACGTCTGTCCGTCCTGGGAGAGGGATCCCTCCTCTGTTGCTCTCCCTGAGGTTTCTCCCATTTTCCCCTTTAAACTGGGGTTTCTCTGGAAGTGTTTCCTTGTACGATGTGAGGGTCTAAGGACAGAGGGTGTCGTATTGTCATACTGATATTCTGTACAAACTGTGAAGTCCACTGAGACAAATGTAACATTTGTGATATTGGGCTATATAAATAAACATTGATTGATTGAATGATTTATTGATTGAAAAAGTACAGGCTGCATATCTGTACTCAGCCTTGGAGAAACTTGACATGTTTTGGGATGTGTCTGAACCTCTCTTTAGCGGTTCATTAATAAAACAGATATTTCAACGTGTGCCTACTTTGTTCATGTACTGTTGAGGTTAATTTCAGTAGTTGTGTGCTATAATGTATTTACAAAGTGTGAAGAGGAGGCAACTTTAGAATAGGGAACCTGTTCAGGTCAATTAGAGTCAAATTACTAGCTTATTGGTTATGAACAAGACTTCACTTTAAAATAGGGAACTTATTCTTAAATAGATATACCTCATTTTGAGTTATTTAGACTTAATTAACACTTATAGTTTCATGTCTTGTTACATAAGAATAGATCATATTTGTTAAAGGTCCCATGTCATGGCCATTTCTACTGATCATAATTCCATTGTTGAGGTCTACTAGAATAAATTTATATTGTGCATTTTTCCAAAATCACATTGGTTTCTCATACAGCATCTCTGTGTATAGTATGTGTATTCACTCTCTGTCCTAAACGGCTAGTTGGAGCTCCTGCCCCCCCCCTCCCTATGAGCCCACTGTGCTCTGATTGGTCAGCTCACCCACTCTGTTCTGATGAGTCCACCACCGTTACAGCGGAACATCAGTGATTATGTGTTACAATGGCGTTAGCAAACAGAAAATTACAGCAGTAATGACAAACAGATGAGAATGCTGCGTGGGGTCTGGGTGCCGTGTTGGCGGGACGTTGCACGGCTCACTGCTGAGTAGGGTTGGGAACCGAAACTCGGTTCCAGATGAGAACCGATAAGAAAATGCTGGGTACTGGGTACCCATACAAAATACACAATTTCGTTCTGCTTAACGGTTCCTAAACGCGGTAGACCCTGTATTCCACCGGGTCTGCCTGCGCCACGGCGCCGTGGTGACCCGGTGGAATACAGGGTAACCAGCGGCGGACTGGCCATCTGTGTGTTTTTGAGAATCACAGAACGGACGGCCGTCAGCGAACCGAGCCGGCCGTCAGCGGGCCGTTGACGGTTCGCTGACGGCCGGCACCGCCCTTAATTTTTCAACGGCATCATGTAAGTTGCGCTGACAGGCGACAGAGGTCCACAGTTTCCCCGCAGCGGGGCTCCCCCCGCCCTCCCGTAGACAGTTCACGAGCTCAGTCACTTCATAACACCAAAGATGGATCGTGGTAAACGCTCTAAAGTGAGGCTCCACTACACTAAAAAAGAAAAAGACAAGGCACAGTGTAATGCCTGTTAATAGCTTGCCACAGGCATAGCTCAGTTCAAATAAAGCACAGCTATTGTGCAATACATTTGTATTGCATTTATATTTTTTATTTGTAAAAGAATAAAGATATTTTTGTTATCTAAACGTTTGACCTCTTTCTTTTACAATTTTGGAATCGAAACGGGGAATCGGAATCGGAATCGATAAATTTAAAACGATACCCATCCCTACTGCTGAGGAGGGGACAGTTTGCGCTCTATTACTGGTGTCGTTTCCTGGTTGCTGCGTGGGGTCTGCGAGACAGCGAGACATCCCAAAACTCAGCCTGAACTCAGCCTGATCACCATGTACACGGGAAGGGGGGGTGCTGAGGGGGCAGCAGCACCCCCATCTGCGAGGCTCCACTAGCACCCCCACATCCCCAAACGCGGCGCACCTACAGTGTAAGCGCTCTACAGTTTAGCCGCTGCGAGGCTCCACTAGCACCCCCCCCAGCGCGTCACAGTTTCGCCGCTGAGAGAGTGTGTGTGTGTGAGGAGCTCAACGGATTGGTCCAACCAATGGGTCAATTTGGGTATGGTCACGTCACTGTACCCAGGAAGAAAAATAAAAATCTCCAACAAAGCGTTCTGGGGCAGCATATGGCGCATTTCCACTACACGGCCTCACTCGGCCTCGCTCGGTATGGCTAGGCCTCGTTAGGACTGGCTCACTTTATGGCGCATTTCCATTACAGTTTAGGAACTGGGGTAGTATCTATAGTAACGCAGTGTAGGCGGAGCCGTGACGTCATCTTCAATGAGAACCCCAGAAAAACAACACAGCCGTTAGCTGTTAGCACTCAGAGCTCACAGCTCCTCATATCTGTTCAGAAACTAGACAAAAGTTAAACAAGTACAAACCACAGACTGCCTGTGTCATGGCGAATACAGTCGCTGCTTTATTTATGTCTGTATAGGCCGTTGTTGTGAGTGTGGACGGTCGGAGCATATACTGCGTTAGCTTAGCCGATCTCCATTTAGAAAACACGCATTTTAAAAGGTGTTTCGCCTGCCGTCTGTCTGCAGACTTGTCAAAGCATTAATTCATGGTTTTTACTAACCAGTATCAGTATGTTGTTACTTCGGCATCATTTTGAAACGTGTATTACAATTAAATCACGGTCAAATATGTCCATCTTGTTGTAGTTGTAGCCCCCTTGCCAGCGATTCTCTCTCTAGTTTAGCATACTCAGCCCGACTCAGCCTCGTTGTCTCTGGCCCGAGACCCACGATTTTATGGGGCCAGAAAAACTGTGAATTAGGACCCGCCGGCCGGTACTAGGCCAAGTGGAAACGCAACCAAAAACGGGCCACTGACGTCACAGCCCTCTTAAACCGTGCTCCGCGCTGTAGTGGAAATGCGCCATTAGACAGGTCTTTTCTGTGTTAGAGTTTTACTCGCTACAGGGTGTACTTTGAGAGTTTGTGACTCTGCAGACCGTTTACATGCAGAAAAACCTACATAACACACAAGGGGACAGGTAATAACCGGAAAAGCATGACATGCGACCTTTAAGTGTTATTATGGGAGAATTACTAGTCTTGTGGTACTACTGCCCATAGGCCCATATTGAGCAGAGCATATTAATACCAAAACTCATGTACAACAACTTCCTTAAATAGCACTAATTAGAGGGTTATTGAGGAAAAGCTCTCAACTAATGGCTTATTACTTGTAGAATACGGTCATGTAGAATAAGGCATTAATAAGTGTTTTATAATGACTAATAAAGAGCCAATATACTGCTAATATGCAGGTTAATTAGCAACTAGTTGATGGTGAATTTGTGTACCTTAATATAAAGTGTTACCCTTGATTCTTATAAATGAAACCACTAGCAAATAAAATAATTATAATAGAGCTCCTATCTTTTTCAGTTGGCTTGGCATTTGCCCGCTTCTGAACCGACTTCATGAGGCTTCTGTCAAAAGCCTAAATCCTATTAACATGGCTTTTATTTCAGCTCAACTGTTATCTCAATAATTAATCTCATGTTATTAAGTGTAATCATGTTGTTATTACAGTATCAGCAAAAAGAAAATGGAACAATCAGGGGCTGATGTTTACGTTAAATGAGTTGTACGCTAGTAACGTTTAAGAGTAAAAATCCAATCCAACAACTCAACTTTTTTTGTAGCTAACACTTAGCAATGTAAGTTTAGCATGGCGCTGAGTTTAGACGTCTAGTGCTACAGCAACTGCTAACAAGCCTCCATCTGTGTAATATTGTTAATTGAACTAAGCAAAAAAACGGTTTATGCATGAGGAATGTGTGAAGGGAACGATACTTTCCTCTTGGCAAAAAGAATAACACATCTGTCAACAAACTGTTTAATTAATGCTAGAAAATGCTTGGAGTTGTTGGAAAATGGAGGCTAGCAGTTTCCCCCTGCTTCCAGTTTTTATGCTAAACTAGGCTAACCCCATCCTGGACCTTTCCCTGTCCTTTACCTTAAACATCTGGATATGTGAAATGTTATATCTGAATAACAACGTTTTTTGCTCAGATTAGTGTGTGTTTCTTGTGAATCTTAGACAGTTAATGGCAATTTCAGTTTGCTGCAGCTGCTGGGTTGCCAGTTCTGCATTGTCAAATGTGACTGAGGGACACAAAGGGATTATTCCAGAGTCCACAGCTTTGTCCAACAGACACACACACACCCGCACAAAGAAGAGTGGGTAACATGCGGTCAGTAACAGGAAACACCCTGCACCCACTCACAATACCATTCGGTGTGTGTATTTATACCTCAGGGAGAATAGGGGATCATTTCTGTATCTGTTGTCTTCAGGGCTCTGGAGCCAGATCAACACCTGAAAAATACACACATATTCAATAAATATGTATTCTAAATTAGAGGATTAACCCCTTGAGATCCACCGTATTGTTATTATAGCAAAAAAACATTAATATCAACATATTTCCAAAATACAGAAATTAACACAGATACAATTTGCAGATTTAAAAAACAACCTCCAGCTGTTTTCAGCTGCAGCAGGACTGTCATAGTTACTGTATGTAGTTATCTAGAAGTAAATGGGGAGTGGGGATGCAATCGTATGTGATGACACCCCTTTGATTCATCAACTGCTGGTTGTTCCTTTCTCATAACTATATTAGGTTAGTTGGTTGAAACCAATAATATTAAGTTTAAATAAAAAATATTAGGTTAAACTGACAGGTGTGTAATGTAGAGAATGACCCAGATTGCTGATGAAGAGTTTTCTCGTAATGTCTCCATATTTCTGTCTACGATGTTTCAGATTTTCTGCAGACTACATTAAGTCTGTGTCTAACCCTCCTGTATTGATCTCGGCTGGGGTCTAATGTCCCTGACATTTAAATTCTTAATGTGTTGATATGTGGTTGACTGGTTGAATGTACTTTTGCAAAATGTATTTTCAGATGCAAATGGGGAGATAGGGTAAGACAGGGTATTCTTATTTTCTCTGTATGATTAGTCAATGTCAAATGATTATTGTGGCTGTAGAGAGAAGCCTTTTTCTGAGAGACACCAAAGTGCTGTTATGTCCTAAGAAACGTAACAGTAGCAGCCTCCCTACATCATGTTTGGAACAGCAAATTCCAGAGAAGAAGAAGATGTCCCCAGGGACAGATCAATTACAAGCTAATGGCTCCTGCTGATCAATTATCTGGTCGAAAACACTGGAGGAATCTGATATATAAGATTGTCTTCTCCACAGCAGAGCTGCAATTTGTCCACAGTCAGAATGTAACAGAAAGTACATTTACTCAATTACAGTTTGTAAGTATAAGTATACTATACTCTTTAAAAGAGGACAGATCGGATTCATATTCGTATTTTATTCTTTTACTGTGACATTTTAATGTTCAAACAGCTCTTTATTTTTCTCATACTGCCTGTGCTGCAGCACCTCTTTTCACCCTCTGTCTGAAACCAGAGCCCAGTCTGCTCTGATTGGTTAGCTGGCCGGCTCTGTTATGATTGGTGAACTGCTACGATATGTAGCCTATCATGTACAATGTGTTTGAGTGCTAGCCAATTGAAGCATGAGTGTTTCAATTTTCAAGATTCAAGATTCAAGATTAAAAGGTTTTATTGTCACATGCACATAAGCTACAGTGCAGAAATAGCAATGACCTGAGTTCCTCCAACGATGCAACATATATAATCAAATACAATAGTGCAGGAAGTCTATATACACGTAAATAGAATATGATATACAGTATACAAGATTGTATATTGATTGAAGATTGTAATCCTCCTGAGACCCACCCATTCATGTTTGTCCTCTGTGGAGCACATTGGGTTTTGGTCCATTACTTTGAGGTTATACATGCCACAGCATTAAGTCCAATTGTACTCCACAGAGGACATCCTGGGCTTTTCAAACATATGACATGTGTGGGGGTGTGGCTTTGAAAAAGATAATTTCATTGTATTTCAAAATGGCGTCCATCAACACAAGCACTATTTATAGAAAGAGAAATGGTAAGTTTGTAATTTTGTAATTACCAGTGTTGTGAGTTCAATATTTTAATTAATTATAGTAAGGGAACATCTTAGGAGTTAGTGTAGAGAGTTTCAGAGCAGTGTAATAATTATTTGACCTAAAACTAAATGTTTTTATGAATGTCCTCTGAGGAGGACATGGGGATTTGCCAACTTTTTATTTCCCCCATTTTACACAACACAAATGGAGTCCACTATGGGCCAAACTCACACGTAGGTTTCTGTAGGGGTCATGGCAGACAGATGCAGTTGGAAAACATACATCAAGTGTCAGATGTATCTCTGCATTTCAAAAAAGGATGGAGTACTACAAATGAGGGCTCAATATGTGTTGCATTGAGTTGTTGTGCTCTAATGTTGTCTAAATGTACTTGTATGTTAATGTTGTTTGGATACTATGCTTCGCATAACTAACACCCAATGTCCTCTACAAAGGACACACAATAAAACTAAACTAAAAAAATATGTTTTTAGTTTGTGTTAGTCATTATGTTAATACCACCCTAAAGACTTGTGTGAAAAAAAAAGGAAATTTGAAACCTTTTTCTTTCTGGGTCTCAGGAGGATTAATATACATAGTGATGTCACTATGTAACAGAAGAAAAACTAAGGATTCCATTATAGGAAAACTTTGAATACTTATTGTATGAAGATAATACTCTGAAGATTGATAAAAGATTTGATCAGCATAAAAAAATATATATAAATCTTACATCTTTACAGTTGATTTGTTCTATGCAGCTCAGATTCTTCAGGTCAGCAGTCTGCAGAATGAAAAGAGAGAAGAGTGGGTAACATGTTCACTATCACACACAAAAGACATGGAATAGTAAAAACTCAAGTATAGATTATATTTTATTTGGAAGTTTACATGTAATTGGACATGATTAAAATATAAAATATATATTTGTTAAAGACAAACAAAACAAAAATCAAGCATACAGTACAAGTTGCATTTTTAAAAAGACACATTTGAATGCATTGAGTTTGAGGTCAATAATTGTAATTATAATTGGGTTATTGAAATTGGGAAAGCAGGGTAAAACCTGGTTATTAAAAGAAGCTATTGAGGTATATATTCGAACAGTGTCATTTATCAACAAAATGTTAACTGAAAAAGAAGGCAAAAATAAAACTTGGGGAATTCAATAAATCCAAACCAAACAGAGGCAAAATATAACCAAGCAATATGAAACTGCAGCCTCAAGCAGATACACGCTGTTGAAGAGCCTGGTGTAAGAGGAGAGAGGCATCTTTCACACAGCAGATATTTGAATGGACTTCTGAACAGAGTCCTCCTTTCTGTTTACTCTGTGTCTATTTTCAGATTAACGTTTTCGATGCTGTTGCTAGGCAACGCTGATGGTAGGAGTTTGATCTGAAAATGAAATCTGCTTCGATCTGACAAAATCACAATATTAAACGTTTGACTAAATGACTCAGATGAACTCCTCTGTTTACTGAATGCTGCAGGTAAGGGGTTTGGATAGACACAGGAGGATTTATAGGACAATCCTATGAACCACGAACAAAGTTAACATGTCTATACCATGTTTTAACTGCTGCTGACAAACATTTTAATCAATACTAAGAGTTGAGAAACGTAAACTTTGTGGAACCATAAATGTTATTTTTTTTGTATTAATTAAAGGGGCCCTATTCTGCAAAGTTTCAGCTTCATATTTGTATTTTTTGCCTCTACTGTGACATGTCTCCATGCTTTAAAGGTGGGGTAGGTAAGTTTGAGAAACCGGCTCGAGATACACTTTTTGTTATATTCCATGGAATGCTCTTAACATCCCGATAGCAATGAATATCTTAAGTGCTTTGACAAAAAATCCATAAAAAAATGTCATCTGTGGAAGCCGTAATACTGTAAAAAGCACGACCAATCATTTTAGCCGGCCCGGCTAAAATAACTGGATGGCCTACCTGGCTGTCAGCCTTCCATCTGTGCACAAACTTATCTCGTGCCCTCATTGGTCATGTGCGCGTTCGTGTGTGTTGGAGGAGGGGCTCTGTAAGGAAGTGGCAGATTTGTTCCGGCTGTGTATTTTCCAATTCTAGCGCACTCGAGCTGGTTTCTCCAAAATTACCTACCCCACCTTTAATGTTCAAAAAGCTCTTTATTTTTCTCATACTGCCTGTGCTGCAGCACCTCTTTTCACCCTCTGTCTGAAACCAGAGCTGAGTTGTAGACCATTTGCACCTATACAACATACAGGAAACACTGCAGGGCCTCTTTAATTAAAAAAATGAAATACCCACCAAATAACGTCTAGGATAAACGCAGGTCAGGTCATGTTGAATTTTGTGCCACACTGTAAAAACTGAAATGTTGACTCTAATTCAATTTATTATGTCAATTAGTTTAACTAATTTGGAAACAATGGACCAATAGCTAACAGGATATAAAGAATGTAAAGATTACATCACTGCATTAGGCTAGTTGAAAGCATTAATATTAAGTTTAAATACAAATATTAAGTTAAACTTAATATTATTTATTTCAACTGTTCAAATGTGAAATCTGTTGCACCTTATGCATTGAATTAAAGTCAACATTTCAGTTTTTTCTGTGCATGTGTAATCTAGTTTTGGTGCATGTCTACACACACACACACACACCAGTTTTGGTGCATGTCTATGAAACTGCAAGTGAAATAATGATTTCTACAATTTCATGAAGGGCCCTAAAAAGGGTTCTCTGACTCCCCCAGCTCCACCCTTATTTGTTTCTGATCAAAATCTTTAAAACACATGAACCAGAGTTTGTTTAGGCCCTCATTCAGCAATCTGTGATTCTACTGAGATGGGAAATAACTCAGAGGCATGCTGGGAGATATCTGAAGGTTGCTAGGTTACCACACCCAGCTGTCCAATCAGCTGGCAGAAATGACAGAGAGAACAAGAGAGAGATGCTGTACTAAAATAGACCTCCCACCATCGGACCACCGTGACAAACACACACACACACACACACACACACACACACACACACACACACACACACACACACACACACACACACACACACACACACACACACACACGCACACACACACACACACACACACACACACACACACACACACACACACACACACACACACACACACACACACACACACACACACACACACACACACACACACACACACACACTCTCTCTCTCTCTACAGGGGTAACAGTCTCAGGTAAACCCCACCTCACAGGGCATGATTTCATAATCAACCACCTGAGCAGTCAGAGATAGTTCCTACACTTCCCAGAGTTCCTGCTACAGCCCAGTGTGAAGGGACAGCTGCTGGTGGTGTGTAGGAGGAGGAATTGATAGAGAAACTGTGAGTCACACTCCTGACTGATAACACAAACCGTTTTCTGAGAAAAGAACAGAAACGAGGGGGTGAAATTACAAAGAAAAATGGCAGGATGTTTGAGCTGAAACTCACAACAGTAATATTTAGTCTAAGAGATTGTTTGACATGAAAAGATGAATCAACTATTACTATAACATTACATTTATTGTGTTCCCTCCCAGAGGGAGTTTCTCTCCCACACACTCCCAAGAAAATTCTAGTGTACATTTTTCACAAGTTTTCTCAGAAAAACAGCCCTGTTCTCAGCTTTCTGATGATGCTTCTTTTTTTTAAAGGCGTTTAAAAGTATGGTATTTAGCAGTAGGGAGAAAAACTTCATCCTTTAATTTCATCGCCAACATTTAAAATCACTTCTCTACATACTGTAGGAAGGGGCTGAAATAACTAAAGCTGTAAGATAAAAGTAGTGCAGTAAAAAGCACAATAGTTATATATTTGATCCTTAAGTACAGTACTTGTGGAAATGTACAAACAAGAATGTACTTCCACCACAGCAGACACATGTATTCACTGAGCGTCTGTCTTCTCCTCTCTTTGTGTCAGAAACATAAATTATCACTTTGATATCACTGAGGAGGTCGTTAGTACCGGTCACTGCATTTATACACAGAAAACACACAGAGGCCCTGAGAACGTATAAACCTTCAGCCAACATTCAGATTTATAACTCACACACACACGCACACGCACACGCACACACACACACACACACACACACACACACACACACACACACACACACACACACACACACACACACACACTCAGTGTTCGAAACACACCATTGTGTTATGGAGCACATAAAAAGTATACTCTCATTTCGATTGAAACATAGAATAGTCAGCCTAGAAAAAACGGAATGATTATTATTTACCATTGCACATCATTTCTCTCCCGAGTGGTGCAGGTTCACCGCCATGAAAGGGCAACATTAAAGAGTTCCCTATACTTCTTTAAAGAAAAAGAAAAAACAAATCCCTTTACAGTGCCTGCAATAAGGTTATTATAGAAAAGCATCCTATATTAATCATCATTTCACTATTTTTAAATACTGACAAACCAGTTCTAAATGATTAACATAATATACATAAAAATACTGGTACCAAAAATGAATTTAAATCGGTGGAGCTTCACGTATTTCCAACCCTGTTTCGGGGTATTAACTACTAACTTGTCATTCCTTGCTACACTGTTGCAATACAATACAATGCACTGATGACTCTTGTCTCGCTGTTGTCTAAAAAAGGTTTTCCTTCAGCAGATGACTCTCTAAAAATAAATGTCAGACGCACCGACATGGACATTTTTAAAATCATCCCTCCATCTTAATGAATCCTAAAACCTTCTGAAGCTCCTCTGAATGTTCACATGTATACTTACAAACTGTAAATGTTCACATGTCACACTGTTTGTCTCCTCAGAGGGATGTGTGGAGTCGTGATGCAGTAAATGTAAAACATGTTGATGCCTGAAGCTGTAAGTGGGTCAGAGCCTGAAAACTGCTGAGTCACAGCTTCACATTCACTGCTCTGACTGGTGATTCTGATTATTCTGTCAGCTGAGCTGTCAATGTTCTCATTTAGAACATTTCAATACATACAAAACAATTTCACATTTACTGTTCATAACATTTAGAGTTAGAAGATAAAAGATGAACAATTACTGAGTCAGTTACACGAGAAATGCAACGGTGTAAGAAGTATCGTCCTTTAAATAAGGATTGTAACCTTACAGCATTAAAATGTCTTAAAAACAACTGCACATATTTTCTTGAGTACTACAATTATTCAACAATATTTTTAAACGGGAGAAATCTCTCATTTTAATCAAGGGTCTGTTTCCTGTCTCCTGTAATGGCAGGAGACAACAGTCAGTAAATGTTGTATATTGATCAATAACCTATTGAAGTCTTAATGTTTTTTTAACTATATATTTTAAACGAAAAAAGGGGTTTCAGTTTTCAGACATCTGGCTATTCAGTACAAATAGGCCAAACTGTGCTGTAGGAATTCTGTTTTTAATGTGAACATTCTTTATGCAGTGTTTTTACAGGTTTTAATCACCATGTCTGTTTGTTGTGGAGAGGAGGTGACCTCTGTATGTCATTCGGCTTACATTTATATCCTCCTGAACTGTGAGCATTGAGGAAATTCTAACCGGGAGAGGCTGAATGCAATGACACCAATGACGGTGAAGACAACTCCCATCTCGTCGCTACGCAAGACGTTACCAAACTGCGTTGTAACAAAAAATAATGAAAATGTAAAATAACTTATAAACACCCCATTAAAAAATAAGAATCCTGCAGTTCAAACTAATACCTGAACAGGAGTATGCTTAGCCTCATGCAGTAAAAGTATCATCGGTAAAAGTGAACCTACTTC